AATTACTGAACTTGGTATTATTACAAATATGAAAAAGGTCCTTCCTTCAAGTTTTTGAATTGCAATCAGAGTCATTATGAATTGTTTCCACAATATGAGAAAAATATGAAGGTAATTTTCCTAATTAAGGCCACATTTTATTAACTCATTAAACTCTGTCACCTTTATTCACTAAAAATCAAGCATAAAAGTGGAATAAATTTGCCATGACAAAGAAAATGCACACATTTCCATCATATAAATAAACTGACTAAAAAAAGGTGAGGTGTGTAAATTAAGGCACTCAATCTAAGAACATAGCACATTCTCAAGTGGCCAGATTGAGCTCCTGGATATTCTTCCAGGGCTCTCACTCAAAAGACGGCAAGTAGCACATGCAAAACTGTACCTTTTGTATCCGTAATATACACATATATATGATTAAAAAAGCACAGGATGTCCTTAGCACAGCATATGTAAATATGCAATAGAGAAAACATAAAAGGATCCCTTTATGTCTAGAATTGTTACTGCCAAGTACCCCCAAGAATATATCAGTAGTCGATTTGTCCCAATTACAGGAGGTTTCAACTCTGCTTCATGATCACAGAATTGCTTCCTAATTTCCCTTCAAACTGTTCAAGCTGTTATGGATTATTAAAGGACATTATCAGCCTGAATAAGCATATTAGAGATCTGTGTGATTTTTTTCTTTCCCTAAATAAACCTAAAAATAACTCCTAAAATTACTATAATTGAAATGAATTAGCAAGTTTCTCCACGCTACATGTTTCAGTTAACTCACTCTGCTTTTGCAAATATCTTGGACCCAATCCACTACGACCAATTCCAGCTTTATATTGCAATTGCTCCACTGTTCGCACTGAGTTGACACAAGCGGAAAAATGAAGCAATGCAGCAGGGAATCAGATCTATCTTACAGAGCAAGTTTCTCTTTTACTGAGAAAGCTAGAGCAACTGGGATCAGAAGAAGAAATGTACATCTTTCACAAGAAATACACTTCAAAATAAGCTAAAGAAGTGGACAGTTCCCATTGCTTAAAAAAATATGAAAATTTCAGTGTGACTACTCTTCAAAAACTGCAGTCTGAATGTTTTTTGGAGGCATTTATACAAGAAGCATAAGCATGCCATGCAGGTCCCAAACGTGCACTGTCCTATCCCCATGAATTTGCAACGGTACAAATAAAGCTAAGAACAATTGTATCTTTTTAAGGACTAGGACCTACCTTTGCAGTCACCACACTGTTGGTAGTGACCTGCTGAGTACAAAAAAAATCTGCAATCTCTTCTTGTTCACAAGTTTAAAGCATGAAGGAAGGTGTGTCTTAAAGGAGAAAGGTAAGGCAGAGATTCATGGGCTTTTTAATAAAGGTACCCTCAGAGGCTAACTGTTTAAATTTAGGAATCAAACAAAACTCTTGTTGACTCCAAGTTGTAGTTATGTTTATGTACAGATTACAAATGTACAGACAACAAGCCACAGTTGACCTTGGAAGCAGGGAGTTTCCCAGCTAAGTAGGTCTGCTTTGCTGGATAGTCACTAGGGAGATAAAACTCCTGCAGCTACTTTGGATGAGTGGAAGGTATTTAAAGTAGCCTCCTGTTTAAAAGTTGCCATAAAGCTGGCAAGACTGACTGCCTATCTTGCTTCAGATGGAGTTCACGCTCATCTCTACATGCTGTTCGCCTCCAGCAGGGGAAAAAAGTAATCTTTGGATTACAGAAAAATTTTTTCCTCTTTTGACTCTTGCATTGAGTTGCAAGCATTTAGAAACATGTCCCAAAGAATCATTCTACCAGAATAACTGATGAGCGTCCTTACCTTCCACTTATCAACTGACATAATGTATTCCCGGTATCCTTCTGAAGGTATCCAGCAACTGCATTTAACCCAAACGCGTTTGTCCAGCAGCGCAGCCGCCTCCCCTCCTCTTTCTTTTGGGGGGAGGAAGGATTCTGAGAAGAAAAAATCGTTCCCAACACTTTCTTTCTGTGTGATTTTATACTTCCTAGAAAAGTGGGGTTTGTCACTTGGGAGGGGAATTCCGGGGGGAGCCCACTACAGTGCAGGCAGCATATCCCGCCTTACCACACTCATAAGGATGACAACTTTTTACGAAGATCCCATTATTGCTACACTACATTTTACTACTCTACTATGTTTTCCTTAGTCTAATTCTATTACTTTTAATAACAGTAGAAAGTAACGACTGGTCAAAATGTAATCAAGTACATATGTGAATCTTGACTGAAAAACAATAAAATTCACTATGGACCCAGCTCTTCTTGTGCATAAAACAGGAGGAAAAAAATCCCACAAGTCTTCAGTGGAAGTTTTTCCTGACCAAGAGCCACACAATTAGGCTGTGATCCATGACTTTTGATATCCTCTGGACTTTTTAAGAAAACTGCCAAAAATGATCTGCCAGAACAGCATACAATTCATTATGCCCTTGTTTTCTGTTGCTGAAATACAGACTGGACCCATTTCCTTGTTTTCTGCAAGATTGTAAGATTCTGTAAGATCTGTAAGAAGCTCAAATAAAATATGTCTGGAAATGGTTTTGGCTTCATTTAGGAGTTATCCAATTTTAATGATGAGAAACAAGTTTTGTGTTATTGTAAAACTCCGTGGATTGATTCTCCACTTACATTTCTGCATCGCTATGCAGTAGAAGTGGCAAGCAAACCAGGTTTTTGGTATTAAGGTCCACAAGGGAAAGGAAAGCTGCTACAGTAACGCCAAGATGGAGACTATTGCTTTTTTTTCTATTGCACACTGCATGTAACACGAATGACAAAGGTGTCATTCGTGCTTATGTAACAGAACATGCAACCCGACCATCCGTGGAGTGAGCACTGGCAGCTGGGAGCCAAGGTGGAAAGTCACAGGTATATGACAAGCTTTTCTCTCTACAGCAACTTCTGAGTATGGGACCTACTAAAAATACAATCAACTCACTTTGCTCACTTGGAGTTAGGTAGCCACCCTGAGAAATACTCAGCTGGGATAAACGGTGCACACAAGGTCAGCATCAAAGCTTCTCCAGTTACTGGGAGCACGAAGGACAAAGAGAGGAGTCCTCTGCCCTGTCTGCCCATCACAACATCGGGCCAGAGAGATTAGTGACCTCTGTTTAATTATTTGGATCCATCAGTCCTTCCTGGCTGAATTAGGACAGTCAGTGCAATTCCACATTATGCTTCTGCCTTCCTGTTACTTCCCCTTGAAGCTGTACCCAGGAGGTAGAAGACTCTTGCAGGTATTAGGGCATTAGGTCTGAAATCTTGGCTCCTGAGGATGTCCAGCATTGGACTTCCTTCTCCCTGGCTTTTTGTCTTAAATATACTTTATTGTTGTGGATATGACTTTTTTTTTTAATATTTTTTTTTAGACTTACTGTACTCAAGTACCAAGTTTAGGCTACTTTACTGAAAAAAAAAAAAAAGAAAGAAAGAAAATGAGCACATGCATAGTCACCAATATTAATATTTGTGTGAAAATCTTTACACGTTTGGAAACGAGTCTGGGATAACAGTAACATGAACTAAGGAAAGTGCAGGGCTCTGCAGTATTTTGGACACTTCCTCCATGCAGTTCTGCTAAGGACAGCTATCATAAGCACAGCTATCATTTTAAGAGTTTTTGGTCTTGCACTTGGTCTACACTTAGTTTCTCATGTCCACATGCAGCAGTTTCAGAGGATTTAATAAAGCATATATCCATCAAACTAAATTTTGTAGAGCTTTCCTACAGATTGAGGTATCTTTGGGGGTGGGGAGGGGGACAGGAAATATATGGCAGTCTTAACAGTATATCCTGTATTTTTTATTCTTTTAAAATAAACACTTACGAGTTAAAATCAAAGCAGAGCATGTCAATATTAGAAAGAAGCTTCTTCATGCGAGCAATGACACCTTTTGGAAAAGGGACATAGTATGAAGTACTGCATGCTACTGTTGTGTTAATCCACGAAGAGGAATACTCTGTGTTTAAATGGTAACATGAACAAATCCATTCCCATTTTTTTTATCTTACAATTTCCCTCATTAGAGAAGAGAAAGAAGAATAAAAAAAGTTATCTAAGGGCAAAAATTTGGTTTGGCAAATTCAGAAGCAACTACATTTTCATATAAGAAAGCCATCCCACCCTTAATTTTTCCATTTCACTAAGACTCTGAACATCTTAAACTATGTGATTCACTAGCAAGGTGAGAGAGCAGTGCTGCAAGCCACTGCTTAGTTGATTTCAGATGAAGTCTTTCCAAGTATTTGGAAGGAATTTTAGTACTTATTCCTAAATACAATATATTACTATGCTTTCTCTTTACATTTCAATGATCATTTATAATGTTCAATAGAGTCATACTACATGGTACTCCAGCATGCATATGAGTTACAACTGATGTGAACAGCCACTGAAGCTAACAGAGTGCATCTTTTAAAGGATTTGGTCCTTACAATGCATTACAGCTTCCAATTTTAAAACTAGATTACTAAAGTCTACCAAACGGGTTGTTAAAGTGAATGCATGAAATAGAATCTGGACTAGATACCTAGTTTATTTCATTTGATGGTTTTTTTTATTTTGACGGCTGGATAGTAAACGCATACGGATGTAACCTTGGTATCATCTAGCTATTGAAAAGAAAAATACCTCATCATGAAGCTCGCATTCTAACTTCTGATCCTCACACAAAGTCCTCTGAAAACACTTACTTCCACTTGTATGTATAAGCAGACTTAGTGCAAGGGAAAAAAAAAAAGAAAGAGAAGAAAAAGAAAAAAGAAACAACATTATGTTTCTCTACAATGATTTACATAGTTTAAGCCAGTGGTCATACCAGTCTAAAAATTCTTGCATTCCATAAAACATCACTTTTTGGAGATAATTTGCAATCATAAGCTAGATTTTTTTTTTCCGACACAATATTATTAACTTTAAACAATTTTGGAAGCAGAATGCTTTGCACAACATCTGGCAGCGTTACCATACCTTCTAGACCAAGGTAGAAAAGTAATCCAAGAAGTAATCAGGTTTCTTGAAGCACAAAATTAAAAGTTTCCTTAGAATCGACTGCTGCAGCGGGAAGCCGTTTCTTCACATACACAATTTCTAACTACATGCATCTTCTTTAACAACGACTACAGAGTGGAACCGTCCCTTCACAGAGAGGGTAACTAACTCTGCGGAGCAGGGTGGAAGAAAACCTCCGGCTGAGACCGGCTGTATCGCAAGGAGAAAAAACTTGTGGTGGTACCGCTATTCGGAAGTCAGCAACTTCTCTAGCGGCGTTCCCCTCAAGCGCACAGGGGCTGCTAATTTCACAAGTTCCTAATGGCTCCTACAACCTTCACACTTGCCTCCCCTCTGCAAATTCCGGGCGCAAGCAGTCTGAACTCGGGCTCTGAATGAGAAGTGCCGTAGCCCACCCGAGGAGGCGAAAACAGACCGGTCCGCACCCGACCCTGCGGGGGGGGCGACGCTTCCACCGCCCCGCCGCTTCCCTCCCGCTTGAATCAATGAACACCCCTTCTCGGCCAGCTCCTTATGGATACTCAAATTTTAAGGAACGCTCCAAAACGCCAGGATTACACCCCAACTGCGGCGCAATGTTTTTAAATTAAAAAAAACCAAACAAACAAAAAAGCGGGTGGGACGGGGAGGAGGGGATGAAAGGGAGGGGACGGGATGGGACGGGATGACCTGCTTGTCGGGCTCCGCAGTCTCCCACTTTACGCTCCCGGCAACTTCTCCCCGGTAGCGCCGGCTCCGCAAAGCCCCTCCGCACCCCCTCACCGCAGCCGCTCGGGGCTGACCCCCCGCCCGCCCCCGGGGGCTGGGGCAGGT